TCTGTCCATCCATCCATCCATCCATCCATCCATCCATCCATCCATCCATCCATCCATCCATCCATCCATCCATCCATTATCTTTACCCGCTTCTTACTTTTCGGGTTGTGGGGGGTCACTGGTGCCCATATCCAGTTATCACTGTATGAGAGGCAAGGGACAGCCTGGATAGGTCTCCAGTCCATCACAGGGACACCTGGACCAGTCTCAAGTCCACCATAGGGACACATGGAAGTAAATGAGACAAACAAGCATTCACTCTCTCACCTAGGGACAATTTAGAGTTATCATTCAGCCTAACATGCATGTTTTTTGGTCTGTGGGAGAAAACCCACAGAGAAAACATGCAAACTCCACACAAAAAGGCCCAGGGCCTGAATATGAGCCAGGGGCGACATGCTTGCTGAGAGACGGCAGCTCTACCAACTGATCCATCGTACTGCCTGTTGTAAAATCCACAAGGATTTTAGAACTAGACTGAGCAGATCCAGAAGAGTTCTGGACCCAGTTTCCTGCAGTCCTAACGAAAGATCTGAGATGGTTCAGTTCATCAGCGCTGGTCACAGCAGACGGTTGGTTCCTGTCCTTTTCTCGTGCTGATTATCCTCTTGGAACTGACCCACAACTCCGAGCCACACTCAGAACATAAATCTGGACCCAGATCCTTTCAAATGAGCTAATTACCGTCAGAACGCTCGGAGTAGCACACACCAAACTGACACGTTTCCTTTATCAGTCAGTTCTGAGTCCTGCGTAGAACCAATCTATTTTAGTAAACTGGGGAACTTTATGAGCAGCAGGCGGTGGATAGACAAGTCATAACCTACCAGGGCTGAACCAGAACTCTGAATTTCCCTTAGACCCAGACATTTCTCCTCACAAAACCCATGGAGCATGTGGAGGGGCATTAAGTGCATAACAGACTATAAAGGCTGATGTGCACAATGCCCTAGGGACCCATCACTGCCTGACACCCTCAACAAGTTCTATGCACACTTTGAAGACCCTAACAGACCACCCAGCACCAGACTCACCTCACCACCAGAAGAGGAGTTTTTCAGCGTGACCTCAGCCGAAGTGAGGAGTACTTTCAGGAGGATTAATCCTCACAAAGCAACCGGCCCAGACAACATCCCAGGGAAAGTTCTGAAAGAATGTGCCGATCAGCTCTGTGAGGTGCTGACAGACATCTTTAACTCCTCCCTCACCCTGACAACAGTTCCCACCTGCTTGAAGACTGCCACCATCATCCCAGTCCCAAAGAGCTCTACAGTGACTGGTCTGAATGACTATCGGCCAGTAGCCCTCACCCGATAGTCGCTAAATGCTTTGAAAGACTGGTCATGATCCACATCAAAACAACCATCAACATCAATGAGGACCCTCATCGGTATGCATACTGCAAGAATCGATCAACAGAAGATGCAATCTCCTCTGTGGTCCACACTGCTCTCACCCACCTGGAGCAGAAGGACTCCTGCGTCCGTATATTCTTTGTGGACTTCACGTCTGCCTTCAACACCATGATCCCCCAAACCCTGATGGACAAACTACTCACACTAGAACTAATCCCCTCCATTTGCAACTGGGTCCTAGACTTCTTAACAAACAAACCGCAGTCTGTGAGGATCCACAACTTCTCATCCTCCATCATAATCCTCACCACTGGTTCCCCTCAGGGCTGTGTGTTGAGCCCTCTCCTGTTCACTCTGCTCATGTATGACTGTGCAGCTACCCATCCAGGCTGTCACATTGTAAAGTTTGCAGATGATACAGTGGTGGTGGGATGCATCACAAACAATGATGAGTCCAGCTACAGGCAAGAGGTGGAACACCTGGAGAGCTGGTGCAAAGAGAATAACCTTCACATCAATGTGAAGAAGACAAAGGAGATGATTGTGGACTTCAGACGGAACAAACACACCTACACCCCTCTGAACATAGGAGGATCTGCGGTGGAAGTGGTCTCCAGCTACAAGTACTTGGGTGTACACCTGAATGATAACCTCAGCTGGGGCAACAACATCACCAGCCTGATCAAGAAAGTTAATCAGAGACTCTACTTCCTCAGACGGGGTCTGGGAAGTTCAGTCCTCACCTCCTTCTACAAGTGTGTAGTGGAGAGCATCCTGTGCTCCAGCATGGAGCACAGGATGTGTGGCATGGATGCTGCACAGCTGCAGAAAGAAAAGCTCTGCAGAGAGTGGTGAAGGCTGCACAGAAGATGTTGGAGTCAGTCTCTCCACCGTCACAGACATCTACACCTCCAGTTGCAGGAAGATGGCCACCTGCACCATGAAGGACCCCACTCACCCAGCACACACACTTTTTGCCCTGCTTCCTTCAGGAAGGAGGTTGAGGAGCATCAAGTGTAGAACCACTAGACTGAGGAACAGCTTCTACCCTGAGGCTGTTAGACTCATGAACCTCTAACCAGGATAATCACTGTGAAAAAAAAAAAATCACTGTGATGCCACTTGATGGTTGATATGTGCTGCTGACTATCCATACTGCTGATCGTATGCTGCTGATTTATTTAATGCTGCTGTGTTCATTCGTACTCATCTGCTCACACAGACTCATGTTCGTGCTGCTGTCTTTTGGCATATTGTTTTTGCACTATTAAGTTTTTAGCGTATTTCTTAGTACATATCTTAAATCTTATTACTGTTTTTCTTTTACATTTTATTGTTGGATGTAACTGGAACTGTGCACACAATTTCGTTCCACCACATGTACCACATGCAATGAGAATAATAAAAAAGAAACTTTGATCTTGACCTGCTCAGAATGGATTATCTAAAAGACATTTTGGTGCATGGTGTGATGGGTGGACCCAAGTTCAGCCGAGCAGGAGACAAGGTGGTTCAGGGCCAAACCACCCTTAATGACCCAAACAGAACCTGGAAGGACCGGGTTACTTCTGGGGTTAAAAATAAAGCAGAAATAATAAATAAACACTAAAAACCTGGGGTTTGAATGGCCGGACATGGAATAAAATGTAAAATTTTTGTGACTCCTTATTTTGTTTTACAGTTCTCGTCTTCTGAGAACCGGTTCTGATCGGTCGTAGCGTCAGCGTCAAGGCTGAAGTCTTGGGTTCGCCACAGTTCTGTTGATCCAGATAAAACTGTGACCGAACCCGAGCTCAGAGGTGCAGACCAAACCTCCGTTAGCTCCGGTTGTTTGTCTCGTCACATAATAAACATGTTGATATGTGAAAAACGCTCCCATAATGAGTTCAAAGGTCAAGTCCGACGGGCGACTGCAGGAGGTTCTGCGTCACGCTGAGGCCTCCCGGAGGAGCCGTCCAATCAAACGCCTCGCCGCGAGCCGACCAATCAGGCGCCCTGCTGGAGGCGAACGTGTCCGTCGGTCCGGACTAATCAATGAGCGGAGACACAGCGGGCACGTGTCCGTCAAACTCAAACACACTCACGCCGAACCTATTCCCCTTTTCAGGTCAGTACACACACACCGCTGGACCCCCTGCCGGCACCCTGCGGGATTCTGGGAAGGCTGTTTATACAAAGCCATGGAGAAACCGTGTCCTACTGACAGGAAGCTAACGACTCAATGAGCTGTCAGGCAGGACGAGAGGGACAAGAGGGACATGAGAGACACAAGGACGACAAAAGACGAGACATAAGACAAGATGAGGAGAGAGGAAACAAAAAACAACAACGTGAAGAGAAACGGGAAAAGAAGAACCGAGAGAAGAAGAGATGGAGCAGGAAAATGTAGAAATAAAGAAAAAGTACAACAGAAAACGAGAGAAGAGCAGAACAAAAGAATAAAATATAAAACACAAAAAGAAAGAAAAGAGAAACTGAGCGAACGGAAACAGGAAGCAGGAAGTGAAGTGCTGCTCTCTGACTGGTTCTTTAGCTGTCAATCATCAGTGTCTGCCTGAACCTGGACTCCACCTCGCTGGTTCGGTTCTGCAGCAGAACTAAAGCACGTGCACACATTGCTGATGCAGACTGAGACTGTCAGTCTCAGGGCCGAAGGTTCGATTCCCGTCTGGTTTTTGTCTTGTTTAAAGTTTATTTTTAGGTTTTGGTTCCTGAACAGAACGTTGGGCTGTTGTTCCCGTCCGACCCGGTGGTCCCTCTACAGGTTCTGCACAGGAACATGTCACCTCATTGTTCTGTGGAGAGCATTCCTCCATGTCGGACCCATGGAGGTCCGATCCACCGCTACACGAGGCCTTCTGAAGACCATCTCAGAACTTCTCTGTAAGTCATAAACCATCCCGGAGACGGACCCAGAACCGCTGACGGTGGTCAGGATTTGGATCAGACGTGACTCTTTGTTGCTCTGGGCTGGTTGCCGTGGAAACGGGGGTGAGGTGGTGAGGACCAGGCAGCTGAGAGGAGGAGATAAGACTCTGCTCCACCCGTCCAGGTCGTCTCTGTCCTCCTCAACTGGTTCAGAGCTTCCTGCTGTGCTCTTCGCCTTAAAACAGTCGAAACTTTTTTATTATTTCAAATGGAGAAACATCTGAACTCACCTCTGTCTCTGCAGGGACAGAATCTGTCCCTCCATCCATCCTCAAGTCCATCGACGTCTTTCGCTCGGCTGAAAGTCGGGACGTTTGTTTTCTCTCGGATTCAGAATGAAATCAGAGAAAATGTGTTTGTGTTTTCCTGGATTTAAACCGTCTGTCGTGATTCCTTCACATAAACACAGAGACGATGAAACTTAGCTTCAGGGACATTTTGTCCTGTTTGTCTCCACATGTTCTGTCCTTCAGCAGCTGATTCAGCTTCATGCTTTTGGTCATCTGGCTGGTTTGTGTCGCCTGCTGCAGGTACACCATCATCACCTTCACCTGACGGTTTTATTGTTTCTGTGCAGCATCTCAACAATCTGCTGCAAAAAACTAATAATTAAAAAGATCCATCAGCTCAGTGCTCTCTGACCGCCGGTGACACAACGTCACACGATGGAGACAAAATTCACTAAAAGCTGAAAACTGTCCCCGGAGACATCAACGGACTTTAATTAAACTCCGGTCCTGTTTGGATCTCCAGCACAGACTTCAGAACCATCATTCAGAGTTTAAACAGGTCGCAGGAAGTTGGATTTTCAAAAACTGAGCGGCTGTTTTCTCGTCTTTAACACTTTTTATACAACCAGAGGTCAACATGGAGGAGTTTACATTTTACCACCTTTTGATGATGTCACTAACTTTCCAACTGTTTTACAAACAAACATCTTGTTTCTAAAATGTTGTCACATCTCCAGTTTCTCCTCCAGACTTCAGTCTTTCTGTCTTCCTCCCAGTGTGTCTCTCTGCTGGAGGACTGATGGTTTTCTCCCAGAGGTCAAAGGTCAAACACCCAAACTCCCATTGACTTCCATTATAACAGATCTCAGAGTTTTTTTTTCAAACAGGAAGTGAAGGCTCTTTTTAACTTGTCCTATCTTCTCCACAAAACCCGGTAGAACCATCAAACAGAACCTGTGGTACCATCAGAACCTTCTGCTGCTCACGAGTCAGGAAGTTCTTTGATCTGACTTCTAGTTTTCACACAGACTGTTTGTCTGAGGTTTACTTTTTACTCTGTGGTTCTGCCTGGAATGTTTCTGGCTGGCGTGCTGTGTGCTGCCCCTCCCCTTGCTGATTCAGGAGATCCTGTCTTCTATATTACCCAGCATGCTTTTCTTCCACCTGTTTCCATCATGTCATCTCTAATCGGAGCTTTGATGTTCAGGAGGATTCGGTCAGAGGGTCGGCAGGAAACAAACAGGAAGAGGAACGACTCTTCACAATAAGAGTCTGGCTCTGTCACAGATTAGATTCTTGGTTCCTTCTGTGTTTCAGAGAACATTGATGGTTGTTGCAGTTTCACCCTTTGATGTTTCTGTTCATTTTTTCTACTTTTATTTAAAGGTTTTTGTTATGATGTCAGTCTTTTCAGTCTTCAGGCACTTTCTAACCCCCCCCCCCCCCCCCTCCCAAACAAATTCCACTTTACCACCTGAGTGGGTCTCCAGTTTGTTTGCTGACTGATCCTGACTGTTGACTCGCTCTCTGCTCTCCATTAAAACCTAATTAGACTCCACTGAGTCTCTGTTCAAACACCTCAACCTGCTGCTGTTTCCACACAAGCACTGCCTGCCCCCCCCCACCCTCCCCCCCCCCCCCCCCACCCGCCGCCGCCTGTCCTCCCTCTGCCTGTCCTCCCTGTCCCACCAGCCCCCCTCCGCTTGTCCTCCCTGTCCTCCCTCCGCATGTCCTCCCTGTCCCACCAGTCCCCATCCGCTTGTCCTCTGGATACCACCAGACCTTGCATTTCTCCCAGTCCCCCCAGTCCTCCCAGTCCCCTCAGTCCTCTCAATCCTCCCATTTTGCCAACTTCTCCTAGTCCTCCCAGTTCCCATAGTCCTCCCAATTTTCTCAGTCCTCCATGTCCCCCACCATTACTTTTCTAATAATCAATAACTATGTTTGTCAGGTCTGTTTTTGTTTCAAATAAAGTGGGCGGAGTCTAAAATCTGATTGATTTTTCTCTTTATTGGTAAATTACATTAATTATTCAGGTGAGCTGCTGACTGGTCCGCCCAGAGGCCCATCCAGGTGATTGATCAGTTCAACTAGGAACACAGAGAACAAAAGCAGGTAAATCATGTGATGTGGGCTGGAAGTTTCACAAAGTGGGTGTGGCTTGAACAGGAAGTCAGGTTACCTGCTCAGGGCTTCAACAGGAAGTGAAGCCTTTCCAGTAGAAGTTCTTGCAGCCAGCTTTGCGGTCGCGCTGTTGGACGTTGTTTGGGGGGTCTACGGACCGCTCCAGGTTCATCCTCCCTTCAGTTGCCATGGAGACCATGTCAGCCTGCTGGGCCTCGACCTCTGGTCTGGACATCTGAGCCAGCAGGTCCTCCACCGCCCGCTTGCTCCACTCCTGGGAAACAATCGAGATGGTTCAGAAACAACAAGTGGACGTTCCAAAATAAAATAAATAAAATGAAACTACAGGATTTAGATCAACTTCAAACTTTTTCCATGATCAAGAGTTAAAATCAGCGCATGGAAACCTAAATGTTGGTTGATGAGGCTCTTATCAGAGACCACCACAGATTGGGTGAGAATCTTGGTAACTTTTAGTTTTTGGATCTTAACCTGAGAAGTTTGTGATCTCTTCTTTAGACATTCACTCCGTTTGATCCGTTTGATCAGTTTGATCAGTTTGATCAGTTTACGGAGGATTTGACTCCGACCGGCTGTTCCCGATAATAAGACCAAAATCCTCAGAAGGATTTGAACCTGAAGGTTTAAAGAGTCAAGAGTTCTGACTGATGATGGATTTAGATTTATATTTGGGTTAAAACAAAATACTCAGTTTAACGTTTTTTTTTTTACATGTTTAAAACGGAGTCAAAAAAGTCCAAACATAAATCTGGTCTGATGTGGACCAGGATGACTGGTTCTGTCTAACCAGCACCACCACTGGTCCTTATCTTGTTTGCTTAATCTAACAAGGCAGCTGGGGGTCTGGGTTCTCTGTGGACCTGGAGCAGCTGAAGATTCCTCAGACTGGCCCCCAAAAAACCCACTGGGCTACTCAAATGGTGGCTTGCGGGCCAGAAGTGGCCCGTGGGTGACTTCAGTCTGGCCCACCAATTAATTAGTTTTTTTTTTTTTAAGGGGGGGGGGGGGGGGGTCTGGGTTCTGTTCATGGCATTTATGATTCAATGCAATAAAACAAATACATTTAAAAAGTAACAAACAGATCATTATAAAACTTGGGCTATTTACAGAACGACTTTAATCTGGATGTCCAGCACTTGAGCTGCTGGCTCTCAGAAACTGTGGCCCCTGAGCAGTTTAGTTGAATAGTCCTGCACTCAGACCTAAAGAGCCCTGCACTCAGACCTAAAGAGCCCTGCACTCAGACCTAAAGGGCCCTGCACTCAGACCAGACTCAAATACACCCCAGATCTGAATGGATTAACCCTTGGGTCAAAATGACCCATAAGGCCTCAGTTTTATTGGATCCTTGTGACCCAAGGGCAGCATGAGTGTTGAGCCACTTAAAAACCCATAAACTCCAATAATGATCAAGTTTGATTGGGTTAAGGTTCTTAGAGACCCCTAGACTTGAGTCCTAACTGGGTCTGATTGGGTCAAAGTTGCCAGGAACCCAAACAGACCCAGCTTCAGTGTCAGTTTTACCTGCGACAGGAGTCCGGCGCTGCGAGCTCGCTGCAGCAACCGGTGGCGCCGCAGCTCCAGGTCCAGGTCCTGGTTCTGGTACTGGTCCTCCTCTCTGTCAGCCTGAGAGGAGACTCCCAGACTGCACAGAGCCAGGGCTGCAAGAACCAGGATGACGGGACAACGTGCGCGCTGCATACCTGCAGAAACATCAAGAGAAGAAGAAGATGAGAAGAGGAGCAACTGAAGCAGAGAAGAAGAGCAGCCGAGGAGAAGCTCCTACTGAGTTCCGGTCTTGGGATGTCTTCTGCTGGTCCTGGCGCTGGCTCTGGGTCTGAGCTGCTGGTCCTGTGGCTGCTGCTCTTAAGAGGCCTGGTTTCCCTCCTCTCGGGGTCACATGACTCTGTGTGATTGACAGGCGGTGGGCTGCGAGGCGATGAAGGAACTCAGACGTCGTTAAACAGAAGTCCATTAGTCCTCATGGACTTTAAATGGAGTCAGGAGAATAAAACAATAAAGCTATCAGCCGCCGCAGCCGCCGACGCTATTCTCCAACAAACACAACGGCAGAATGTTGGCTGACGAGGCCGAATTACCGGAGCGTTCCGGGGATTAGCAGACTTCATTAGCACTCACTGATATCTCCATTAAACAAAGAGGCAGCAGCAGCAGAGAGGCGCCCACTCAACGTTCAGTCAGAACAAACAGCACCGCTGCTCCACTTTATCCAAACGACTTGAGGCTGCGTTCAAACGCTGCGCCGCAGGAGCCCGCGGGACATCACGGAACCCCGCCGAGGAACTCTAATCCTCTGCCTGAGCCCCATCAGGCCCCAGGGAAAAACCTGCAGAGGAGACCTCCGACAAAAGCTCTCAAAGAACATGCTCGACTGACAGCCGAAGCTTTGGTGTCAGCTGAAGTAGGTTTTAGACGCCGTGGTTCCCAACAAACAGCTGAAGCTTTAATTTTAGCTGAAGTTCGTTTGCAGCAGCTGCATTTCTAACATCCTTTTACCAATATACCCACTGTCTATCCTCTGGACGTGTCCAAACCACTGTCCCTCCTCTGGACATATCCAAACAACTGTCCCTCCTCTGGACGTGTCCAAACCACTGTCCCTCCTCTGGACGTGTCCAAACCACTGTCCCTCCTCTGGACGTGT